GTATTTTATAGGTATACAGTAGGAATAAGGACGCTTAAAACTTTATTTGAACGGTTTCTTTCTAGGCCCCGATGTTCTTAGTATTGTTGACATGTGTCGTTGGTACACTTTCATTAGCCGGCAATGATCGAGGGGTTCCAAATTTGGTACAACGAAATCAAAGATACGCCTTGAGCGAATTTTTGATCCCACCACCGGTACCACAACTGCCATCACGCGTATTTCCCGGAGGAAGAACTGGACGAACTACTAATCCACATCCTGCTGAATCTCCTGGTTATTTCTCAAAGTTCATAAGTTGGTTAAATCCGTTTACAAGTGGTACTACCGTGGAAACGCCTCTACCTCCACCTCCTGAAACGCTTCATCCGCCAAAGTTTGTTCAATCACATGTGCCACCACTACCACCATCGGGACAACCACCTGGATTGCCATTAGCAACGTCTCAAGTTTACAATGCACAACCACCACCTGTTTATGACAGACTACCATTGCCCCAACCGCCGTCTCCCGCAGATATTTACAACAAATTAAATCCACAGGCCAAAAACAAGAATTGTAATCCGTGCAACAAAATTCCTTGGTTACCCATGAATCTTGGAGGAGCTTACCTTCCTCCAAGCAATCAAGATGGACATATTGGAGTTGTGACTGGAGAATATCTTCCACCGAGTAATCACGGACTCGTTGCTGCTGCATCTCAGGAGGTCAAAATACCAGACTTTTTTTATGCACCATTTTTACAAAACGGAGAAATTCCATCGATCGGACCTCTACCGAATCCACATTTGTATCCAGGTCCTATGCCTCCTCTGTTCAAAGCAGAAGTATTTGATTATCCTTCACGAACGAATTATCCTACTAAAGGAAATTTACAACATCACGAGGTACCCGTATCGACTGTTATTGAAACAAGTCCATCGTTATCTTTAGGAATATCAAACGATCAAACGAACAACTCCGGTGATAGGAATTTAGGAATTCCTCAAGAAGGACAAACCATTTTTGAAAGTCATCAAGTGTCTGGTTCAAGTCATACTGAGTTCGGTAATCAAGGATATGGTGGAGTTCAAATAGACTTGTTTTCTAGTGCTTCTCATGAGAATCAACAAGGACCCGTGGTTTATCCAAATTTTAATAAAGAAAATGATGCAACGTCGATTAAAGAAAATTTCGATGAGTCCAAGATAAATCAATTTACAGAACCTAATGCTTCCGGTAATTTCGAGCATACAAATTTTGGGAATAATCAACAATTCGTTGATTCTTCTAGATTGGATTTTCAAAAAACCGATCAGACTGTTCCTTCAACTGTAATAGGACACGATCATTATGTTTTTGGAAATACAGAGTTGGGACAGCAAACCTACAATGGTGATATCTCATCTAGTATCGGTATAGTTAAAGATTCCCATGCATCAGGTACTGATGGATTTTCCAATGTAGGAAATCCAATATATTTTGAAGAATCGCCATTGACAGATCTAACGAAGACGAGCGAAAGTCGTACTGATTCGCCCTCGATATCTTCTCCTTCCACCTTCATTGATCTTGATAGAGAACAAAATTCTAAGACAGCCTTGGATTATGAATCGAGGCCGAATTCTTTCCAAGTACAACAGGAAATTAATCGATTAGGATTATTGGGTGGTAGTAATGATAGTTTTTTGAATTATTCGACAGAAAGTAATGTGATCAAAGACTTATTTAGAATTGACAAAATTAATGAGCAAACATGGAGAAATACTAAACCGACTACTTTGACTACCGAAGGTTTGCAGAATTTTGATACTTTATTCGTAGCACCACAAGCACAATTAACTGATTCTTGGTCAGTCGTTTTGTCGACGACAATGAGGACGACACAAGATGAAACTTTGTTAAATAATTTAGGAAAAAACAAAGATACAAATAAAGAAGATCATAGTTTACAACAGTATGGAGGAAAGAGAAATAAACAGGTACAATGAAAATGACGATAATTTGTTATGATCATAGACAATTGAATTTGATAAAGTTAATGTAATTTTTTATTTTCTTTTAGGTACAGGTAATAATTCCGTATACGTCGCAATATACCCCATTACCTTTCCATACGTCCTATGATGATAAAGATAATGTGGAACAAACTCAACAACGGACAGTATCTTTCGTGGACGTATCGAATCGTGACAACTATGTCAGTGAAGAGTCTAGAAGCGAGAGTAAGGTGATAAGTCTTCCAGAAACGGTAACAGTTTCCGGCAATTTGAATATTTTGGATGATCATACGACGAAAGTTGTAACAACGACAACTGAAACTGTCTTTAATATTAGTACGAAGAAAGTTAACAATTCGATAGATGTTCATAGATTACAAAAGAATATCGACAATTGGACGATACAGGTATGTATTTTGTGTTAAATCCATGGAAATGAAAATATTAAAATATTAAAGTTTTAATTTTTGAAATTGATTTTTTTTTTTAATATTTAAATCGAAACCTGTTTGGATTTATAATTAGGAATATTCGCGAGGAACCACTTTTAGCACGATTTTACCCAGTTCTTCTCGTCCTTATCTGCAACCATCGAAAAAAATACCTAACGAATATTTCACGACAACGGAATCTGGCGAACATGTGAACGGTTTGAACGATCATGAAGAAAATGTAAAATCTTTTGCATTGGCTGGATTCAGTTTTAACGATATCGAGGATGAAGGACCTAATTCACTCGAAGAATCTAGGATACAGGTGATATTATCAATTCATTATTACTATGAAAAATAAATGAGAAGAGTTAAAATAGTTATATTGTAAATGATTAACTGAGAGAATGTTTTCTTTATTCTTTTTAGACCATACACGTTGAAAATCCAACAACCAAAGCGGAATTTAATACGTCGAATGTAAACGAAAATAACTCGAACGTGACCACGAAGAAACAAGAAAGTTCTTGGAAAACTTTTCCAGTATCGATTTCGACGGTCGATAAGGAACGAGTCTATGTCGTGACTCCTCAGACAACTACGACGGTTGCAACCGAGCGTCGCGAGGAGGAAAATAAATCGAGCACGAAGAGTTCAAAGAAAGGGAGCGTAGTCTATTCGAAGAGCATCAAGAGTAAGCAGGATGAGTTCGAGAAAATAGAGAGAGCTTATCAAGTTCTACCGCAGGCTGTAAATAATTTAGCTGTGGCTTCCACGGGTCCGGAAACCCTTCCTCTATGGGGAATAATGGAACACGAAGAGTTTGCCTTGTTAGGCCAAAACGAAGACGAGAACAATGACGATGAGTCAATAGTGGCGCCTATCCTTTATACCGGACATTCTAAGGTACTTTTTCTTTTTGTATTATATGTGAAAGATATCTTTTCTTTTACTATGATTTTTTGATTCTCCTAAGATAATTGTATGCTTGATTCAATAGGTATATAATTATAATAATAATAATAATAATTATTATTATTATAATGATCGGCTTGTTCTTTTTTTATTATTTTAGGTTTCACGGGCTAGGCGATGACTAGATAAAAGACTTTCGATTGTATAAAGATTTTTCATACGTTTGTTTTGTCGCTGATATAACTTCGTACATAGATTAATAATATTTGCGATAGATAAGTAATATTTGTGATCGTCGAGGAGCATTTTTAATTATCAAGACTTTCTGGTCGATGCAAAGAAGAAGAAGTCGGTCAGGCGCCAAGTCAAGAAAGATGAAGAAACCACAATTTCTCATGTGCGAGATATTTAATTAAAGGGACATCGATAACTAATTAATTTAAAAACTAGTGTTAAACGAATGTGTGACTGATAGTGATTGATGATATGAGAATACTAAACACATTGTGTTTTGTTATTTTCTATCAGCTCATATGGTAATATTCATTAGTTATTTATCTTTGATATGTATAAAATATCCAACGCCAGAACTTGCGAAAATAATAGTAAAGTATTTTATTTCTATGTTTAATATTTATTCACCACATTACATCGCGTTTCTTTCATTCGTTTGCCAGTTAGAGATTTTCTCTCAGAGTCATTGAATTTTCATCCAATAAAGTCATTTAGGATTTTTATCGTATTATATTATATTAATTTCTTTTGTATAATCGCACATATTTTCGAAAACTATTTCTATTTAATCTTTAACGAATAAGAAAAACGAAGAAAAAAATTTTAAATATTCAATAAAAAATTCGACGATTGATTCTTCACTATTCACCTTAAGCCAACTGTTTTCTATTTGCGATGTGACTCGATTTTCAAAACGATTGCGTTTTACTTCAGAAAGTCACTTTCGCCGATTTCGAAAATCTGGATGCTAGCCAAAAGGTGATTCAGGTGATTGTAACTAAATATATCAACCGTGCGTGCGGCACATAAATGCATATCATGAAATTGATTTGACATCGGCTTTTCAGAATCGTATGGTGAAAGGAGAAAATACAGTATCCGGACATATTTGGAACGCATGAACGCACGTTTGTGCGTGATTTTACTACCGCATTGGAAAATTTAGAAGCGTACCTGCTAGGTCAGTACGAAGATTTATTTTAAATGGTAAATTATTAAAGATTCATTACTAATTATATATTATAATTCAGTTTAATTGCACAATCAACAATTATTTTAGCATAATCCATAATTCTATAGAAAGAACTTTCACATTTGACTGATTACCTTTGCAATTGACCTTTACAATTTATTAGAGTTTAAAGAAAATTATTAAAGTGGAGTGAAGAAATACTTATTTGGATGTAAAAAATTTCGTTTTTATTTCAAATTTATATCACGATCTTACAAATTAAAAAACAAGGAGAATTTTTTGTTGAATGTTTTTTGATTCTGATAGAAAAATCACACATTTGTCGTCTCTCTTTGCACGTGAGAACTCGTTTCGAATAGACGTGGGAAAAAATTATCTATTGTTCGTTCATGGCATCTCATTTCTTTATTTTTTGCTCGTAATTAGATCTATTTCTTTAGTAAAAGGGAATAGAACAAGGACACGACCTTAATTAAGGCCATTCCAACATCGCCTTTTATTTCTTTGTTAAAAAGCATAAAAGAACTTGAGAAAATTGCCAAAATAATATTTCGATATTAAATTAAAATATATCTTAATTTATGACCGAATGTACAGTAAAAACGATTCTATTATATTTCTAAATATTCTGTTCAATGAGATCCTGTTGTGTTTGTTTTAATCGTAGTTTCGTTCTTCGCAAGATGATCAACTCCGTCAGCCATAGAGTGACGGTCAAGGCCGTCATACTATTAATTATGACGATGCAGGGCGTGTAACTTCCCATTGCGTCTCTAATTATACCTACGGTACAAAGAATTCGTCACTGTTTTACGCTTTCTACTTAATCGTAACAGCAAAATTTAAACTATTTTTCCGAGGAAAATTTTATATAAAGGGATTCAACGAGATATTCTAAACTATACCTAAACATGGTCCAACACTTATCATGATGAATCCATTTACCATCATCTGTATCGCAGAAGCATATGGTAGTCGGTTAATCGGCACATAGCTTGGTATGACCAATGACATATAAACAGATCTAATCCCTTTGGCAATTCCTAAACCTGTAGCAACAACTATCACTTGTGTAAAAGAATGGGTAAATATTAAACCTGCATTAAAAAAAGGAAATATGAAAAAAAATTTCGAAAGGTGTAGTACGTGAATAATAAAATCATTTAGTTATATCATATTAGATTATTAGAAAAATTGTACCTGTTCTGCTAATAATAAGTAAGATCAAACTGATAGTGTACATTGGTCTCGGTGTTAGATGAAGCCATTCTCCAAGATATGGAGCACAACATCGGAGAACAAGATCAACCGAGGCAATGGTGCTCATTATAATTGCGATTTCATTTGTCAACAAACCACAGTCAGCCAGAATGAAGGGAGTCAATAAAGAGAAATTAATTTCCGCGAAAATGGCAATCGACATGCCCAACATTATATTGACATATATACGATCTCGTAGAAGATCGAGATCGTAAAAGGCGATTATCCATCGTAAAATTCGCACGAATCTCGTTTTCTTTTTTTGTCTGTTGGCATATCATTGTTACGTTATAAACTACAATTTATAGTAATAATGTTAAAAAAGTTTGCGATAAGATAAATAAATTAAAAAAATTTTTCATTCACATTTGACTTACTTTTCACAACTATCGTTTTGATTCTCTATATTTGAATCATTTATCATTATCTCGTTATTGTTTTGTGGAATGTGATTATCTTCCCTTATACTTTGACAACTATTCGCTTTTGATATTTTATTCGTACTACTGAAGCTTAAATTCTTTCGCAGAGGTTGGCAAGCTGGATCTTCATCGAAAATTCTTAGACTACTGTTTAGATTGATAGTATTTATGCTTTTCGCTGGAATAAAACAATAGAAATTATAGATAATTGCATTATGGATGGTTGTGTAGGATTTTAGATTAAGAAATAAATGAAATTTATTTAGAAATAATGAAATTTACCTGAATTCCACCAGTGATAATCTGACTTGGAACGTGTTCGATTACTTGATTCGTAATTATTAATCCATGTCCAACCATCAAGACTCATCTCTTGCGAAATGGCTAAAAGAAAAAAATAATGCAATCGTAATATTCTGGAATTATCAAGCTAAACAAAATAAGTAAATAATATTTGGTCTACAAACTTCTCGTCGTTTCTGAAAGCTGTCGTGATAATGGAGTTTCAAAACCATAAATGCTAATGCCTTCGACATCGTGATTGATATTTGTTATAGTTAGATTTTTATGCTTTTGTTGTTCTTCCATCAATAGCGCGTCATGAAAAGTATCTTCGTTTTCTGAAATTTCGTTTAGTGTATATTTCAAACATCATAAAAGAGCAAAATTTAAATGATCAATTCATGTTCGTTGTAATTAGAATATTCTTTATCAATTGTTTTCATTGAAAATGAAAGCAAATGAATAATTACCAACAGAGTGTTCTTTTTCTATGTTCTCGATAATCTTCTGCTTATCCTGATCTTTAACGTTTGATTGTTTTTTCATGTGCCATTTTATAGGATGTAACATTAAAGCGCCTATTACCGCGTGTAGAGAGTAGGAACCAAATATCAATAGCGTGCCCTATTTTGGAATTATTACTTTGTATTTGAATCGGAAACACTGCTATTAATAACAAAGCTCATTATCACGTTGCCACGTTGATAACTCTCATGAGGTGAAATTTAGATGCATAATTTTGCATAAATATTAACTAAAAGTAGAGTTTATATTACATTAAAGACTAAAGTAATTCAATACACTATTACAACTGATAATTACATAATACAAAACTGATAATTTCATAACAATTTGTAGTAATAAAAATTTCTACGATGTTCTATATCGTTATCTGAAATGCTCTTAATGGATAATCGAAATAAAGATGTCGAACTATTGTTCGAAGTAAAAACCTAAATTACCTGAGACCCGTACTTATGGAGCAAGAAAGTTGTTATTGGTGGCATAAAGATCGAACCTATACCCATAATAGTGATGGCCCAACCGGTTGCACGTCCTCTCTTCGTTGTGAAGTAGGTGTTGAGTGCGAGAGAAAAGGCCGATGTTGCAAGGTTCATTCCGACAGCTTAAAACGCAAACAAAATAAGATTATGAGAAGTACGTCTTTGAAGAAGCACAAAGAAAAACAAAGAATTACTTACATGCTATCACACCGTACGTGATCATAATAAGAGTAAATGTTCTTGAGAACGTTGTTAGTATTATACCGATAGAATATAACAGAGAACCAGCGATGGCCACTTTTCTGTACCCAAAATATCGTAAAAGTGGACCATTGATTAAACCTAATATCATGCCAAATGCCGAGTTGGTACTAATAATAGTGCTGCTTTGTGTACCATTGATGTTTAACAATGGAAACAAATCCTTAAATATTAAACCTGAACCTTGCATGATAGGTATCATGGCAAGCTAAAAAGAGTTCTTGATAATTTAACATTCTTGAATTTGGAAATTATCATTTACATATTCATAAAACTTACACTGTTAAATGCATATGCTATGACGATTATCCAACCATATCCTCCGTCCGGCGGTACAAGAGTAATCATTTTTATTAAGTTTTTACTCTTCGATCTTGTTTCTTTGTTATCAGATGAAAATAAAAAAATGACCCATCTTCTATACTAGCTTCGTTATTCGCGCACCTGTTTTATGACTTTTTGTTATTTTGATCAAAATTTTTCAAATTTTTCGTCGATTTTGTTTTATTTTCTTTTTTTTTCTAACTTGTTTCTTTTTCCTTCAGACCTTTCATTTCTTCTGACAATTATTGCTACGATGTAGTTATTTATAATGAATGGATCTCAGTTCATACATCGTTTTGCAACTATAAGTAACACGCTTGGCAGCCAAGCGATCAATATTACCAGCTTATTCCTAAGAGATAAGTGTGACTTTAATCTAATCTCGACACGGAATATGTTCTGTCATTCTCAGTAGATTATTGATAAATGACCTTCAGGAATAATGCTGGATGATTGAGATATATAATATTTTATAATTGATATTATCAGTAGATTTATTATGAATGTTAAATATGTTTTCCTGAATGATGAATCAACGTTTTAAAGTTGGAGTATAAATGAAGAAAAATTTCTTAATGTGCATATCTTAGTTTATTGCATCATGTATTTACATACGTGCAATTAAACAATTAATATACTAGAGTCTCAATGTTACATTCTAGTTTGTAATTTTTAAAAATGATATACTTTGATATTCTTTTGTTATGAATTGTGTCGTATACTTGAGATAATGATGCATCATAATCCGTTATAATCCGTTATAATTCGTTTTACAAATTGATGTAGAAAGGAAAACGTATATTCATATATTAAAAGAAATTCGTATATTCAAAGATAATATTAATTAAAATATTTTAGCATAATTTATGTAAACGATGGCATATAGTAATTTTATAATGATAATAAAAAATAAACATATTTTTTATTATCATTATAACAGTATCAAAATTTGAGATGTGTATATGAAAACGTTAATTTAGGAGTATAGTAGCCTAATCAGATATAAGAATCATGTAATAAGAAATAAAGAATTATAGCTAGTTCCGATGTAAAATAGGAGAAATTATTTAATCTAAATGTTTAAAATCAAATTACTTATTAAAATCTTAAGTCACAAGTTCGACATATCAATTTTATAAAACAAAAAAGAAATAATCAATTTGGTTTTTGTTAAATGGATAATAGATTTATTTTTCATTTAATAATTACTTGATATATTCTAATTAATTAGAATTAAATTGAAAATAATCGAGAAATATCAGTGAGAAGCAATTTTGCTTAGTACAAGCACATGTATTAATATTCTTCCAAGCCCTCTTTTATTTGATTTCCTTTCTTCTCTTTTCTCCTTTCTAAGGTAATTCTCTATTATTTAAAAAATAGTTGTTAAATGCGTGAATGTTTAGATAGTGACGCATAATAGTATAATTTGTCACGTCTTCTATCTAACCGATAACAATTCCCAAGATAAGGTAAATCATTCCACTGACCAATTGTTAAATTCCATTGTAGCAGGTAATCTCAATAATAGCACGTATCATGGTATCATCAGAGGTATGAAAAATGTTATTGTAACGAAGGCTATTTTCTAATGTAGCTATTTTGTACGTGAGCTCAATATTTAAAAAATTTTTAATTTTCTTTTTGTGATAAAATTATATTTAAAGAATTATGTGAACGATAGGATAAGTTTAAACGAATCGATATTAATTTGAGATATCAAAAATGTTCCTGGATTAATTATATCTATTCTTAAAAAACTCTTTTCTTCAGCATCATAATATAGATTTTTGCTTTTTTTTGTGGAGTGCATCATAAATCATGTAATTCTTCAAAAAACGATTCTAACATTTAAATTCAACAATATTTGTATTATTTTGAAATTTCTTGAAAAATTTGATTAAAAATTATTATTACGTATTATTTATAACGACTAACGCATCTAGAATTGTTTCTTTTTCATAGCAACTTCCTTTCGAATTTTTAATATTAAGTAGTAAATATTGTCAAAAATAGTTTTCTTTAAGTTATTTCTTCTTTATTTCAATACTTTCATAAATAAAGTTCATCAATGTAACTTTACATTTATTATTCTTTTGTGCAATCTTGTACAAATATATAATGCGATTATGCGTGGCTAAAAGTGAATTAAACATATTATTGATAATAATAAAGTTTTATTTAATTATATTATATAATAATTCATTATTATATGCTTATAATAATGAAAATTCTATTTATTCTTAAAGTAAAACGTACAAAATGAATGTGGCAGTTAGTACGTTAATGATATAATGCTAATTCTATAATGCTATTATTATTATACTAAGTTCAATCAATTATATATCTTAATTAAATTGAATAATATTTTCCTACTTATTATTTCTTTTTTAAATAAAAATAAATATATTATAAATATATATTAAATATATTTTTAAATAAATTTTTGAATATGTTTCAGGACTATGACATATATAATGTTAAAACTTGCTTTCAGTAAATTTACTTAAATTAAAATGCTTATCGAAATACAGTGTGTTTGCCTGATATCGAGTACATGTTCACGATTAGATTAAAATTGTTATTTTAAATTATAAAATATATATACATATATCTCCTTATAAAGAGTATCTGTATATAATAAATTTTATTATTATTATATATTATATATTATATATTATATATATATATATATATATATATATATTCCGTCAGATATTGTTATTCTTTATACGAAGATTCATTTTTGCACGTTTATATAACGAGGCTTCGATAGACAGTAAATAAATAAAATATAGCTTGATAACTGAATGCACATCGGACGATCCTTATAATTTCTTCTATCAGTACTATTTCATTTTTGCAATGAAAAAAAAATCATTTTAGAAATTAGGAATACTTAGGAATATTTGCACATCGTACAAGTTGTTTTAAACATTAACATCTGATATCATAAATACCATATACAGTGTTAAAAAAGGGTTAAAAACTTAAAGGATATATATACAGTATCTATCAAGTTGAATAAAAAATGTAGTCAACATGGATAGAAAAATTGGAAATTGACTTTGACAAATTTATGAATGATTTTCGATTCTGACAATGACAGTAACTTTTTCCTGGTCATCCTATCTAACAAATAAAGAATTATTAAGATTTATCTTATCATACTCTTATTTTAATGTTTATAAATAGTGTTTTACACGTTTTCCTTTCGTTATCACACATGCATTATATTTTAATATCACAAAAATGTATGTATATTCTTTTAAAAATTCTTAATTTCTTTTTGTACTGTTTAATAAGGATTTCGTAATTGCTGCTATAGTATTAATCTGTGTGATTTGTAATAAAAGTTAAATCTGCTGATGATTAGAAATGTTATCTGAACTTGGATAACTATTTTAAACCACTAAGCTATTCAGGCTCTTAAGCCAATTTTTTTACGAATGCTTACTTATTAGAGATAGAGATAATCGACCCCGAAAATATTATAGATCATTAATAAAAATCTGGATACATTAAATGTTTAAGATATATTCATGTAAGATATATTCAATGATCTACATGTTTTCGTTTTAAAATGACGATTTTTGAAACTTCTATTTTCAATGAAAAACAAACTTTTTAAAAACTTCCATTTTAATATTATATTGAATTCTTTTTTGTAACACTCTTTTTTTATATACAAATATATAGATTCCTTTATATTGAAGTATTTCACATATTCGCGCTGAAGAGGTGATGTACGAGAATTGACGAATGTTGTGAATTTTTTGATTTTATAAGAAATAGTTTTTTTTTTTTTAAATTTATAGTATAAAACTGAATATATCATCGAATATCCTGACTTTCATTTTGATTTTCCGCCAAACATCTCTCATTCGGCGTGTCCCCATTATTTTTTACTTTCACATGTTTACCAAAAGGAGACCAAAGTCCTCCGAGTAGCCACAAAAATACGCAAAACATACTCATCGCGGATGTGAAATGCAAAGAACCAATGTAACTTCCAGTTAAATCATGCACCATGCCTGGAAATATTACAAATAAATAAATAAATGTTTATTATATTTTTAAAATTCATAAATAATAATTAATATTATTATTAGATATTAACCTATGATTGGTCCCAGACTAATAGACAAAATGCCATTGCAAACCATTTGAATACCAGATGCTGCTGGTAACCTTTCCAATGGAACGTAATCTGGTATGATCAGAGTTTGAAAAACAGCCTTTGTACCCTTTGCTATTCCTACGATAACAGCAACTAGAATTACGACGACGTAATCATCACCCCAGGTACAAAGAACTGTAAACAAATTTATAGTATTAATATTTATAGTATTAATATTGAATTATTTCGAAAAGAGAAAGGAAACGAATTTTTCGTATTATTTTTTATAATGTGACTAATGCTCCAATATGACTAATTAAAAAAGATAAAATTGTTGAAAATTAAATGAAATTAAAAAAAAAGAAATGAGGGAGAATTTTTCCAAAATAAAAACCGGATTGTTACGTTTTGAATTTTTGAAATAACTGAAATCAACCCACCCCGAGAAACACTGCATTTTTCAGGTTGACTTCTTCGCTATTTCATTTCCAAATATTTTACGTTGTTCTACGTACTCATCCTTCCAAATGTAGATCCTATTAAGGATATCACGTAAAGATTTCTTGGAGTCCAGTGGGCTTTTTGTGCGATTAGAGGAACACAAAGACGTCCAGCGATATCAAAGGCAGCTTGGATAGACATTATAGTTGCAATCTCCTTTATTTTTAATCCTGATACTTTTTCGAGGACGAAAGGTATCAACGCATTGAAGTTCGTCTCAGCTACCAAAGACATGCCCATACCTACTTTCAATAAGAAAAAGAGTTTTTATTTTTTATTATTTCAAATGAAATAATTGTCACATAAATTTTTTCTTTTTTTTTTTACCTATCACCACAAAAATATAACGTAAATCTTGTAAAAGTATGAGATCTAAGTTAGTTGAGATTTTTTGAAAAAAACTACGTTTCGTTTTCGTCTTTGTTTCTTTAAAAATCTTTTCTAGAGTTTCTTGTTTTTTAATTTGTTCTTGGTCGTTCAATAATTGGCACTCGACAACATATTTTTCGACGTCACTTTCATTTTCATTTGTCAGTGTAGCCACATTATTCACATTATAATCCTATTGAAATAATGTTAAATATTATTATATAAATGATAATACTATTTAACACTTATCATGTAAATTTTACTGCCGACAGATACGTATCTTCTATTTTATTGATAAAATACAGATAGTAAAGTATTAAGATATAGACATTGAATTACCTCAGTTTTTATTTTTTTATTAAGACCGTCGTTATTTACAAACGGTCTTAACAAGCAAGCACCTACGAAAGAATTCGCAGCGATTCCAGCGAAAATTATTAAAGTTCCCGTAGTAGCGTATGCGTCTAAAAGCTTCACTATTAAAAGTGGCATTAGAATAGGACCAAGACCGGTCAATGTTACGCAAAGTCCCATTGCTATATTACGTTTTTTTCTAAAATACGTGTTCAATGCTAAACTCGATGCTGGATAGATGATACCTTGTCCGATTCCTAATTCAAAACAAAGGATAAAAAAATTGTGTAAAATAAAAAAAATTAAAGTACATAGGTAGGTATAATGCTCTTATTAAAAAAAATGTTATTTTTATTTTCTATAATTACCTATAATAACGCAATAGCCTACAATGATGGTAGGAAGAGAGAGAGCGAATGCAGTAGTAGATATTCCAATGACGATTGTGAAACTACCAAAAAAAGCGACTTTGCGAAATGAGAATTTTTTCATCATGGGTCCACTTATCAAACCCAGGCTGCAGCATATTGTACCGTTTAAATGAAGTATCAAGGATGTTTGCGTTGCGCTGATACCGAGACTCGTAAAACGTTTTCCAAAAATAAGACCATAACATTGTTGAATCGGCAGTATAGATAGCTATAAAATCAAACAAACAAATTATTGTCGTAGATATTCATTTTTCAAAAAACGAATATCTTCACTCGTAATGTTGAGACTCTTAGTACTCGTTACTTGTCAAAACAAGTCGTTAGGATTTGAGAATAGATATCATATTGCAAAGATACGAAAATTTGCTTTTTTTCTTAAGCTTGTGCCATATTTACGATTCTCCATAAATGTTTTATAATGTCAAACTTATCCGTGTCATTGAATGGGATAAAAAAACGTGACGATTGAATAATTAATTAGACGAAACGATCAAATTATGAATTTTGTATTATTTTTCAATGTTTATCAATATGAAAGATAAATAAAGGATACTCTTTTTAATATACTATTCTAAATATAAATATATAATTCTATTAAATTAAAAACAAAGGGAAGAAAAAATCGATATATTATCGTGTATCATATTAGTATATCGTATGCTATAAAAAATAAGCAGACGAATATCACGGGATAAAGGTTACATTTAAGAGAATTTCGATAAAAAGTAGAAGTGAGGAAGAAAATGATAATATATTCAAATAGAACGAATGTATAAAGTGTATATATATATATATGTATATATGTACTCTTATCAACTTCTCAGATTTTTTGAGATGTAATTCAAATTGAGGAATATGGGAGATACGGGACGGACTTACGTTAATAATGGTGACACCAAGAACGATCATCCAAGCCCAGCCTCTGTCAGCTTCACACCGAGTCATGATATCGATCTTATCGATCAGTTTCGAAATTTTTCACGAATAAAACCTTTCTAACGTCTCTCTTTGATGGTTCGTCTTCGAATAGTCTGCAGACTGTTGCTTTTAGATAATTGATCAGTATACAAGTCAGAATAAAGAGATAGAGAGAAAGAGAGAGAGAGAGAGAGAAAGAGAGAGAGAGAGAGAGAGAAAGAGAGAGAGAGAGGAAGAGAGAGATAGAGAGAGAGAGAGAAAGAGAGAGAGAGAGAGAGAAAGAGAGAGAGAGAGAGAGAAAGAGAGAGAGAGGAAGAGAGAGATAGAGATAGAAAGATAAGACACAAGATGGATTTTTTGATAGGAACATGAAGATAAAAGAAGAAAGATACAGAAATCAAGAAAGAAAAAAAATGATTAATTGGTCTTCTCACCCGCACATGAAAATATTAATCACGCTTACCTATACCTAACTGTTTAATGATATATATATTATTTCTATGATTTCGGTATCATATGCCGTTTGAGCAATAAAAAAGGCGGGATAATGTTGTAAAAAATTGTTCCGTTTTAGCAGCGGAATTAAGATTTAAAAATATCCGCAAAAGAGAATTTTCTAATTTTATATGGTTAATCAAAAATTTTAAATCTTTGTAACATTCTTATTTCTTTTAAAGCAGATGATATATAGTTTTATATTTTATATAATATAATTAATTTTAATTCGGAAGAATTGGTAATACCTTTAATAGTTAGCATAATAAATAAAGTATAAAAGTTATTTTTGTAATATCTTTTCTAAAAACTCAAATTACAGCATGTCGATATTATATATAGTTGATAGTACTTTGATGTTAGATAAGCGGAGTAGAAATAAGACGGAGCACTTCATGGACACTTTAATCGGCTGAATTGCTTCTACTCTTCTTATGTACATTTATAGTATATATTCGATCTAGTTCTGTATAATGATAGGTAATAATCTTATCATTCGTTAAGTGTCAACTTAAATTATTTTTATGATAAATTTTGATATTACTAGGTGACACGTCCAATTAAAAACTATTCTCTTATTAATTAATCTGAAACGTATAATAATTATTTTATTTTATCTCTTTAACAGTACAAAAATGGTTGATTTTTTATCGATAGAAAATCGATCTAGTAATTGATCGATCGATTGAATGATTTCATTTTTCTTTACTTGCTATTTGAAATTTTTATATTATTATGAATAATTATCGTTTCTTGCTATATGTCAACGTTCGTTTAATGAAAATATTTAATATTTATAAGCATATCGTTCTTATGCAAATTATTTGTTATAAATAAATTATAATTATTTGTTATAAACAACGCGTATGAGTGCCTATTCATTACTTTTTTTTCGACGTTGTTATTTGATAAATTATTAATGTCTCTTTGCTCATATTGTCCATGATTGTTCGTTCGTATTAATATAAAACACAAATAATAATTAAACGTTTCGTAAAAATGAACTGAATCATCGAGTAAACGATACCATTTAATTATAGGAAAAATTTATGTTGTTCATTCAGTCTTTCTTTTCCTCTTCGTATTTTTCCAGTTTGTATATTTCCATATTTTAATGATCACGTGGAAGAAATAAAAACGATTATATTACGTTACGTTTTAACACGAACTGCGATCGTTTCGAGACTAAACCTTGTGAGTCAACGATGACACGATTGTAATCGGCTTTATAAAATATATTCCAGAGTGTGCTGTCACTTTCGTATTCGTATCTTCATCTTATATTATCTACGTGCGTTCGAGGCATATAAGACGATTACGCTCGAGACGCCTCCTTTATTGCTACTTTCAAAGCGATTTTAACTTCTCTTCCTTACCGACCGATTGTTGAGTTTTAAGAAATCGAAATAATCATGCTTAACGAAAAATATCTGATTAGCAAATATTTATAATTTATCATTTCGGAGCATCTGTTACAATATCGATTTATCATAAAGTAAAGTATTCAGAAAGTCCTTGTGCAAAATAAATATATTCATCTTATATTGTAATAAATTTCAATGGAAATTTAATTTTTTTCCTTATTAAAAAATATTAAAGGGAATTATTGAACCTAATAAATTCCATATAAATTAATTTGGTGATGAATGATCGATATTATTTGAAATCTATAATTAACACGTGTAAGATAAAAATATAATAAAATATTAAAGAAATATCGATGATTGCGCGATGTAATTTTTATTATTTGTAATATAAGTTACGAAGTACATATTATCCATCATTCGTTAGTACCGATATAAAAAGATCACCTATTGTACATGGTATTCCCACAATGATAAAAGAAATCATGAGGATGATAATAGATCTCTGATGTAATGTTAAATTAACGATAAGACATAATACGTATAAATTCTTAGAATCCGTAATTGTGCACCATTATAGCGTTGAGAGAATAGTGATGAAATGATCTAACGCTATTCTTGGTTTAATTTACCTACGCCTAATCTCGTTAATAGTGATACCGGAAAGACAAATAATAAAATAATCTACATAGAGGTTAAATGTCTCCTTACTGATGCTGTCGATTCTTTTTTAGTAAAAAAAAGTATAAATGAACTATAGGAGTGTTGAGGAATGGGAAAGAATTAATTAAAATCTATGATCATGTTTAAGTGCATTTTTATCGTTTAATAAAGTAAAAATAATAGTCAGTAGCATATAATTATAAGTATTATATATTGCAAATTGGAACTCGGTAATAATACTTGAATTACTGTACAAGATTGATCATCTTATTTTCCAAGATGGATCTTTTAAATTTGAATGAGCGATCGTTAAAAAGAAAAGAACAACTCGTTATTCTCTTGTACTCTTATGTGTTTCTTCAATCAAGTCGCGTTTCCTTTTACGTAGGCCGAAATATGAGAACTCGACGGTCCACGAGACAAAAGTCAGAATGATCAGGCTCGTCATTACGTGAATGCATACTCTATAGCTCTGCGTGTAGTCTCGTATGTATCCTGCATCAGTATGAAAACGTTTTCTTCTAATATCGATTATTCTTCTTATGGCTCAAGTGAAGATTCGTACGAATGATAATGGAAATTATGTACAGAATATCTTGCGGTTACTTACCGATAAGTGGACTCATAGCAACAACGAATATACCCTTTGAAACCATAAATATTCCGAAAGCACTAGGGAGTCTCTTCAAGGAGCAACATTCAGAGATACTGAGGTTTAAATTGACCAAAGTAGCTCCACGCAAAAATCCTATTATTATGAATATCACTATTAAAGTTGTTCCTTTCGTTCGCTCGGCCAATACTGAAAAATGATAATGAATGTAGGAAAAATAATTAGCGATGATTTGCGATGAGTCTATTATGATTTTAATGAAAGAGCTTACCGGAACGTCCACAACCAACCATGATCGAACAAATCCAAAATATCGATCTCTTCTTCAAGCCAAACTTATCGAAGATTGTTGGTAACGTCAGACGTGCGAGGATGTCCGTAAAGGCAGTGAGGGATAAACAAAAAGCGACTTCCGCCTTGGTCATTCCTATCGATCGTCAAGTATCTCGAGGAGTCTAGCTAAATTCTAAGTAGTGCCGTAGCGAGGCTTAGTTTTCATTAGATGGTCGATTTGATCCTTTACAAGTTCGCAAAGTTTTTAACGATATAATAAAAAAAAAAAAAGCTTCCAATTAATCTTTCTTTTCTGTTCTTTTTTTTTTATATAAATAAAACACGAGCAATGTCGACTTTTTCAAGATTTAAATAAATCTATGAAGAGCGTTAGATCGATCGATCGACGAACCACCAACGTTCCTTGCTACGATACCGCTCATGAATTCTTTTGCTAGGCGATACTAACCGATGCTCGAGAGGAAAAATGGAGTCATCAACTTGAAATTTGATTCTGCCACGTAATAAAGGCTAGTACCTATAATTACATTCAGATAGACCGTATCTTTGAGAAGATCCAAATCGAAGGTTTTCTTTATTTTGCCAAAACACGTTGTTTTTTTGTCATTCTCATCGTCCTCGACCTCGATGATTTTTGAATCGTTCTTCGTTTCATTTTTCTTTCTGCCGTCCGTATCACGACTCGTGTCATTCGTCACTTTACGCAGTGACATTGAATAATTTTGCAGCAAAGCATCCTTCTCCTTTGGCTCAATGATTTTCTATAAGAATCATTTGATAATCATACGTCATTATATTTCCATAAGTTTCAGTCGTATGATAATTGTTTTTGACATGTTATTTCGAAATGGATAACATGTTTTTTTTTGAGATAAAAATTTTCTTATTATAATGATTGATGAAATTCAAGATAAAATTTTTACATTACTTTAGGAATTGAGATTTCTTTTCTAGTTTCCAAAGACCTCAAAAGACAGGCACCTACTACCGAATGAAGTGCCCATGCACTTATAATCAACATTGTTCCACGAAATCCGTACGATCTTAGAAGTATATGAACGAGCTGTAGTAAAAAAAGATACATACTTTGTCGAGTAATTATATATCTGTATGGATTAGTTATCGTTACATAAATTATTTTACGGACCTGCGGTACCAACATCATTGCCAAGGTTGTTCCAGCCATTGAGAAGCCCACTGCTTGTCCGCGTTTCTTGTCGAAGAAAGTGTTCAAGGCTACGAAGGCGGACGCGATCGCAATTCCTGTACCAAAGCCTGTCGTAACGCAATAAATTGCTATTATGATATATATTGTCATAAATATATCGAAGATTATAAAAAATTGTAATTTTTGAAAATTCATTGATTTTGTTCGAAAAAGTCAAGGAATATTTGACTCAGATCACTTTTCAAATTATTGACATTATATAAATAAATAGTTGTAATCGTTGCTTAATAGAATGTTTGTGAAAGCATGATTATTTACCTCCTAAAATACTATAAGTACATATCAAATAAAACATGCTGTTCGCCCTGGATGTCAACATAAGTGCTGTGCAACTCAGAAGTGAGCCAAAGAATGCGACCTTTCTGTAAGAGTATTTCTTCAACAATGGTCCAACAAAAAGACCTATGAGAAAGAAAAAGATAATGATCGCTTCATTTGTACGAGAATTGATGATCAAAAGAGGTCTTTTAATTTTTTATATCAATATAAAAACAATCAACATAAAACAATTAGATATTACGAAACAATGAATGAAAAAGTAACGGTTACCTGAAAAATTGACGATAGCGTCAAGTACGCTCATTATCATTGACGTTCCAGTAGATTCGATATGGAGATCTTCCAAAAGATCTTGGAAGAGAAGACCAAAAGATGGATCCAACGACCTCAAGGAGAGCTAACCATATATTATTAAATTAATATATCTCTTCATTATTTAATAAAGAAATATCAATATATTTCTTTGTTAACGTCATATCATTTCAGTTAGTAAAAAATGTAAACGAAATCGTGATTAAACAAAACAATGGTCTCTTTTTATGTGGATTGACAGCATACACGTATACATACGTACATACACACACACACACACACACACACACACCTATGTGTAAAAAAATGAAGATTTCTATCTTTTGAAATTAAATAATTTTGGTCTGTTAATAAAAAAAATTCGAACTTACCGAGATTAAACTACTACCTAGGCAAACGAACCAGCCCCAACCACCATCCGGTGCCTTTTTTCTTGTATCGTCATGTGAGTTCTTCATTTTTAACGACGAGAGAATTTTTGAAACCCGCACGTTCGATCGTGATTACGAATTGAACTGAAATCGACTTGGCACGTGTTACGATTGAAAATTCCGTGTGACAGAAGGTTTCTGCTTTTGATCACATAATCAAGCGAAACAGTCACTATTGATAACTATCACTTTATTCAACAATCACTGATTGCTCGATATAGTTAATCTATCGATTTTCTCTCACTTCTTTTATCGATATTTTCTTTGTTAACATCCGGTTAACACATACCATTTAAGCCGTAACTTCGTTCGTCCATTCATCCACTTATTTGTTCGTTACTTCGCTTGACTTATCGTTTTTATCTCTGTTTTAGTATGTATCAGTCGAAGTTAAAGATAATTCGTTAAAACATTCGTTCATACATAACCAATCCAAAGGACCGTAGATGTTCCATTTGAAAAAATCTCTTGAAACGACATGATTCATTAAGTCGATTATCATTCGTAAAGAAGGTATCTCCGATTATTGTGATAATCACTGTATTTTTCTTTATTTAATCGATAAAACTGAGATTATTATTTATCGCCATCAGGAAATCACATTATTAAGAAAGGTTAAATTTTCTGACAACGTGGAACATCTTATAAAATTCATTCAAATAATTTTTATTACGATATCCCAAACTGTTATTACAAATTCACTGTTATCGACACGAACGGTTGTTATCATATAATTAATAATATCGATTCAACGTATAAAATACTTTTTTATTTCACGTACATAATTATTCATGAACATACACCAATGCACTTGTATTTCGAACGACAAATATTTGCATTATATGTACATTATACATGAAAACGTTGATTCTTGTTTCGCAATAAGGATCACGAGTTATCCTGTGAGCAGAGTGACTTCATCTGCTCTCTCTGCGACCGACAGTAAGACTTGATAACATTTATCGTCTGTCCGACTATTTCTAATGTGCCGTCCACTACTCGTCGACCTTCTTTCCATTACGTTTTACACACGACGCACGACGCACAAACAGCGGAAGGATCACGATAATGAAAAGAACGAATAGCGAACCAGCGGGCGTTTCTAATCACTGGCTATCTCGCTTCTTTAGTCTTTCTCTCATTTTTCTTTCGTCCTGTATATTCGTATTCGACTCGCGTTTGTCTTTCGCATAATTTCATATCGTGCGATTGTTAGCATAAATTTAAATTTCCTGCGTAGAAGTTTGCCTGCCAAATAGGTTCAAATGATTGGCATAGTTAAAATAGTAATATAGTTAACATTAAAATTACCAAACACGTAAAAATGATAGATTTCCGATATCTTGTTTTATAATTACCAAAAATTATAATCAAGATATAGATATAAGTTAAATGTTATTTTTCTTTATTTATTATTGTAAAATTAAATAAATTAAAAGATAATATCGAATATACTTTCGTATATATATATATATACGAAATTTATATAATATAATATCGAATATATTTTATCCAAATTGACGGATATAGTATGTTGGTAGTTCTAACTTTAATTTCTTTTTTATAATCGATTCTTCGTTTATTCGTATGATTTCTTTTTTATCATTTTATTTTATTTTATGTAACTAACATATATTGAAGGTGAAATTTATTCGTATATGTATACGTAATGAAATGTTACAATCCAGCCACGCAAAGACTTCCGAACGGGAAGTCGAATAAAATAATTCGATAAATGCGGCCGAAAAACTCGTTTGCTACACCTACCGGCACTAACAAGGGAAAGGTGATTTTATGAGGTTGCGTATAAGATCTGGATGGAATAAAATATACTCGTATATACAATTATATCTACAGTCGAACAAGAGTATTAAGATGTTTGTCAGGGATGTGTATGTACATATGTATCGTCGGTATCAAATAGAGATATGTATAATACATATACGTCAAAGAAAGTTACGAATACGAATTTTATTGAATTTATTAACATAAAAATTTAAATAATCTCTGTTGGTCTTTTGTGACTGTCTATACGTATGTATGTATATATATATATATATATGTGTTCAAGTATATATGCATATATTTATGATTATTTTATCGATTAGATGCTTTTCAATATTTTAAACAATTTCCTGGTTCATTGGATATAACAGGATATTAATGGTTACATTGTGGAAATTCCTTGATCATTTTTTTTAATACAGTCGAGTTGCATTACAAAAAGTAACGTATTTCAATATTTCGACTCTATTAAGAATATTTTGAAATACTTATTTATCGAAGATGATGCGATCGTACTAATAATATTACAGAGTATAATAGGAAAGATAATATTATTCGATAGCATTGGACCAGCAGTGGTAATATACTATGTTGTGTCATAGGAAAAAAATCTCTAAGAGAATATGAGTCAACCGCAAGATCCATTTGTCTGGTTTCACGGCGAATAAAATATCTATCTTCGTCATTTTTATCGATATCTTATCTATATTTCATTGACGTCACTTCTTAATCATTAATAAATCAATGCATCGAGGCATGTTTTACATTAGCCTTCATCATTTATTCATTAATTATTAATATAATAATTAATGAGAAAATAATTCATTGTTCCGTCTTTTTAATTCATTCTGTCTTCTTAATTCTGTAATTAAACTCTATTATGACGGAGTTGAACGTAAATTAAATTTGTAATGTGTATTTATCAATTATGAAATGTACATTTATCTTTTAATTTACCGTGTAACATCTGATACTTTTAAATATTATGCAAATAATTAGTTTCTTATTTAAGATATATGAAATTAAAATAAAATGCATTAGGAATGAATATACATATATTAGAAGAGCGTTAGGAATGATATAAAGATATCAAGATATGTTAAAACATTGAGTTTTTAATTCCAGTAAAATTTTGGTAACTCTAGTCATCTTTAGTATACTGCAAATGTTCAATTCTGGATGACTTTAGTAAGAAAAGGGTTAAATACAATATAATTATAATGCAGTTTTTAAAAATATATAAATTTTTATCGAAGAAATATCGAATTAGCGCAAGATATATTTCTTGTCTACTATTTATACTTCGAGTAGTCTATATGCAGGCTGCGCCGAATGGTATGCAATTATTGTATCGCTGCAACTGCAGTAAAACGACCACTTTATTTTTTTTCATTAATATCAAAATAATTATCAAATTGTTTGTGATCGATACGTTAACGTTTTCAAGTAATGCATTAATAAGTGGTTGACAATAATTAAGCTTTTTCTTTTTTTTTTTTTTTTATGAATTTTAAGGAGTTTACGTCGAAAACAGATTAAACTTGGAAGAAGATATTCATAAAAATAATATTTTTCTCCTTGCAGGTTATCGATTGAATTTGCATTAAGCACATGATCAATGCATTTATCAGTTTCTTGCAGAACATTTTCCATTTCAATAATTTCATTTACTTCTATGATTTTGTTTCGTAAATACGCAACGTAACGCAAACATAATAGTATGAAATACAAACATTCTTCAGGCGCAACGATACGTCGTTTCAGTAATGAGCAAATTTTACATATTTATACTAAAACATATTTTAATTTATACTAAAGAAATTTTATATTAAGAAATTTTAAATATTTACACTAATTTCTTCATATTTATACTAAAGTTATAATGATAGCTATATTGTGTATGTTCTCATAATTATTAAGAAGGTTAGAGGTGTATATTTGCTGATAACTTTTACTATATATTCTTCTAGCATAAAAGTTATTGTTAATATATGTATAATAAATTTTTAGTGAAGTTCAACAATATTTTGTTGTGCGTGTTGTTTTCTTAGATCTAAACTTAAAAATCAATGAAGGGGATCCATTGATTCAAAATGTTTCTGACTTTTCAAATTATAACCGCATCTATATATATTTAATTTGTACCTTATTAGTTTAATAAACTATTCAATCTAATAATTTTCTTACGTCGCACAATGATTATAATTAATAAAATTTACAATTAATAATCTTCAATTCTAAGTTTACAATTGATCACATACACAAAGATATATTTAGGGTGAGCCAAGCAGAGTACGTGAGCGCCAATATTAAGAGAGGAGAGGAGGAAACCGAAAAAGATAGTATTCTATTATTCTCTAGAATAAAAATCGTATTTAATAGAGAAATAGAAACGAAAAGATGGAATTGGAATTACACACGTATTCAGGGGAAGTATAATTTCTGCGTTTGTCCTAGGAGTTATTTACTCTAGATATGTCTCTGCAAATACGTTTCTTCAAATGATTATTGAAAAATATATTGCCCTGATAATATTTTCAGTTGTTTAATTTATATTACTTCCTATTGAAGAAGAATGTCTTATCTAAAAAAGTTTCAGGAGCAAAGGATGAACTATATCGGTATTTAAATCATATCTTCATTAAATAAAAAAATTATTTTACTTCATAAAAAAAGAACAAGGCAAACAATTTATTCAACAGAAAAAATCAATCGTAATGCGCCATTTAAAGCTTTCTGTCTTTCTCCGTTCCTTTACATAAATCTAGATTATCATAAGCAATATTTCATATTAATCGAGTAACACAATCTGACTATATTAGTTACGACACAAAAATGTAGCTTTTATAACATTCTGTCAACCTTAATTACTGCTACTTAACTGCAAATCTTATTTTCTTGAATTTTTAACTACAAAAGCTTTGTGGTAACTAATAAAAAAATCAAAATGGAAGTACAACTAATTTAGCTGTATTAACAGACATAAAATCACTTTGACAGCAATTAGAAAAATCGAAATTAGCTGAAGCGAATCAAATTCAGAAAAAGTAGTACATTTTACAAAAAAAAAACAGCTCTAATGTGGCTGTAATTTGTATGTGACTATCAGCTTTATGTAAAACTTAGCATGTATCAGAGATTGTCAATGAATCTATACGTTTATTTATGTGGTTCTAAAATTATTACTTAAGGATCTATATATAGTTCTGTAATCATTGTATTCTTATAGGAGTTTGTGTCCGCTCTAATATACTTACATGTACATTATAAATTGTAATAATAATTTTCAATGATTAATTAATCTTTGACTTTGATCTATGTTTAGTGAAACGAAGCTTCTGGGTTGTTAGTGGTCCAATGCTAGATGAACCAAAAAACTTTTTTGATTCTCTTTTTATTCTTTTCACGTAATTTAAAGATTAAAATCTAATTGAACATTGATTTACATATAAAATACATTATTCATTTATTAGTTTGGTGTTTATCTTTTTGTTTTATTCTGTCATTGCCGTAATGTCCTTATGATGACATTTTTACAGAAAAATAGTTGTGAAGCTAAATAAATGATTGCGACTTCATTTCCAAAACTGTTATCCCACTATTCCTACTATAACTTTGTCAAAAATCATAATGACATTGTAGCTGCGGTAGAAAAAAAAAGTTGCAATTTAAGCTGCGACAACGTTATCGTCGACGTTCTAAAACTTGACTTGGATAATGATGGGTATTTACTACAGTGACGTTGAATACACAGATAACGGAATTTTTTGAATCGTTTGTTACTTGTCTTATTCAGTCTTTCAAATCTGTCTGTCTCAGAAATCTGTCTTTCTCACTATCGTAAAACTGTTCTTGTGAATCGTCCGCAACTATATTACATGATACTGGACGTTAAAAGAAAAAGAAGAAGAGTAAGAGATATAGAAAATAAGAGACACAAGTAATTTTGAATTTGAAACCGAATGTTCAAATAATCACGTTAAATGTTACAACTTTTGCGAAGAAACTATCAGAGATAATAAAAACAAGTGTTAATAAATTTATCGAGCTATTGTGCTCATATTTCGTAATTCATAAGAGTGAAATGATAGTTGCAAAGAGGAACGGTAGAACACCAGAAATGACAGCTTTAACGACTAATAGCGTAGAAGAGACCGAAAAGAAAGATCGGAACCTGACAAGAATTGATCATCAATTGATTTGTGAGCTGGACGATGATATTAAATTGGAGGATCTGGCACCAGACGGTGGTTGGGGGTGGATGGTGGCTTTGGCGATGATCATCGTTCTTGTATGTGAATAACGACTGCTTAGAGAGTGATTTAAATTGGATTTTGAATTTAATCCATTTGTAAATGAAAGAATTTTGGAGTGTCTTAAATTCCTGTATTTTATTCAATTACAGGTCTACGTACTTTTATCCAACTTGTGTGTTACTTGTACAGAGAAGTACAATGTTGCCGGTGATTTATTTTCTAGAGCAATTACATAACATATTAAATTACCTTAATTGCTTAAATATTCAAAGATAAAAAATATTATATAATATAAAATATACAATATGAGAGGCGATAACAAGCCTAACTTAATCATTCGTTTGCGAATGATGTTTCGTATAATTCGTGATTTCTATTTTGCAATTATATTAAATTTTTTGCAAGCCCTATCATTATTTCGCGATTAACGTCCATGAAATCAATTTTTGGATTCTTTTAATTATAGACGTCTAACAAATAATATAAATTATTTTTTCAGGTGACGACGCTTGGACCGGCCTCGTCTTTCGCCATAATTTTCGGTGATTTTCTCGTGACTACTGGTCAGACTGGAACTGCCATGACGCTCTTTAATTCAGTCTTTATGATCACTTTCTCCATCTCTAGTAAGTTGGAATCTGACGCATAATTGCATGTACTTTTTTTGATACAAATATTACGACATGAAGTTCGTAGTAACGTAAAGGCACGTTTGAATTTTATGGAGAAATTTGAGTATTTCGATATTTTAAAGAGAAATTAGTAAAAAAAATACCGGAAACAATAAAATACGATTTCTTATGATTTTGAGAATAATCATAGATTTTTTATTTTTCATATTTGTATTTGAACAATTTATGAAGAGAATTGTCCTTGTTCTTGAGAAAGATGAAACTATGACTTTATGAATTCGTAATTTTATATAAGGACGCATCCTTATATTAAGCATTGTTGTATTATGATTTTCATTAGGCGCCAAGATGAGGAATAGTATATGCGAGACGTCGAGACACGAAGTATATTTGCTTACAAACAGAACAGTGTTATAACGTGTCGTTAAACATGTGTGTTGAGTTCTCATTCGTAATACATATATACACATATCATTTGCGACGTGTACACTGTAGTAAACTTGATCCATGATCTATATATCAAATCAATTCTATTATTGTTAAAAAGTCTTAATCAATTCTGTTTACGTCTTTGTATTGTCTTATATATATGTAAGACAATATATATGTTATATATATGATGCGGTAAAAACTTTTTTTGGTAAGATTTGAGTTTTTATATTAACTTGAAATAAGTTTGTAATCTATTTCTTATATATCGTACAGTGAATATAGTTCTGTTTCGATTATTGTATTACGTATATGCATGTATAAGGAACTTATATATGCATATTTAAAAATAAAATTATTTATAAAATAACGAGAAAGTAATAAATCGAAAGATAAGATGATATCGGATAATCGATAAAGCTAGTATGTTCGTATACGTCGTCAATTTGCATAAGGATTAATATAGATCGTGCTAAAAGAGAAAAACAGTAGCGATAAGAGAAAATGATGAACCGAACAGTAGCTTGTGTGCTTTGTACATAATTTCACAAAAACTTTTCCGATCTTATGTATAGATAGTCTAATAAGAAATATTTTTTATGTATTTCTACTTGTTATCTTTTCTTTGCAAGGAATTAAATAAAGTTTAAAACTTTTTAATTCATTCATTGTATCATTAAGTATATGATTAAGATCATGACAACTGAATGAAAGAGGTTTTAACTTGGTTCGTATTTGTAAACTTTAATTTGTATTTGTAGGTTTATTAACGAATGCATTGTTGAAGAAATATTCGATGAGACCGGTTGGAATCGCTGGTGCGATGTTCTTCTCCATACCAAATGTCGCATTGGCATTCGTTAACAATGTCTACCAAATGGCTTTCATATTCTTTCTTCAAGGGATCGGAATAGGCCTTCTTATTACGATATGTAACACGAATTTCAACGCTTACTTTGTGAAGAAACGTACCCGAGTGAGTGAAAACGAGAAATTCGAAACATCGATATTAACGATATACTTTCATTATCCTTTCTGTTTCGAGAGAGAGAGAGAGAGAGAGAGAGAGAGAGATAGAGAGAAAGAGAAGGAGAGAAAGAGAGAGAGAGAGAGAGAGAGAGAGAGAGAGAGATAGAGAGAAAGAGAAAGAGAGAAAAAGAGAGAGAGAGAGAGAGAGAGAGAGAATTATACAGCAAAAAATTATATCGAAATAATTTTATGTCTCAGGTAATGAGTCTGGCTCAAACGATCATCGGTATGGGTGGCATCGCTTATCCCATTTGTATTGAGAAAATGATGTCAATGTACGGTTTTCGAGGTAATTTATTTAATGCAAATACGTATGAAGAAAGTATATTATTGTACATATATTATATATTCGCCGATTTATTACATATAAATAAAATATTATTAGATACTTATCGTGAGAAAAGTTTCTTATATAAACAAATAAAAGATTATTAAATTTCTTTATAACATGTAATTAAATTTTATTATTTTCTACTCGTGAAAAAATAATGACTAAAATTATCGATAAATTGTATCGACAGCGGTAAGATTCGAAATTGGTTTTATTGGGTGAAATGATTTTACTTCTCTGTCTTTTTTCAATAATTGTGTATTTCTTTATGCGTCGAAGGAACCGCAGCGTTGACAGGTGCTTTCAGCCTGAATTGCATTGCCGGTATGACGATGATGCATCCGGTCGAGTGGCATGCTAGAGATCCGACGGAGGTTCGTGCAGAGAGAATTCGGGAGGCTGATGAGAGAAAATCGAAAGGATTTGCTATATCAGAACGACGTTCGACCATTCATGTCCATCAGGAGTCTGTATCAACCAGGAGGTGCAGTTTACGTAGCTTAAAGGAGGAAAGTTCAAAGGAAGTTCCTCTGCTAATTGATACTTACAAGGTTTTTATGTTTTCTTTTCCTCTTTTTTCTTTTGATCAGAAATTAAAATGAATTGATCAAGTTCGACTTGATTTTGAAATCAATTTTAGACTCATGCAAAAAAAGTTGCATCAATATCCGAGCTCGAAGGTCTTCGCGTGAGATCGTGGTCTTTGTCGGCACGGGAAGCTTTGACTAGAAAATTCTCTGCTCTTTCGGCATCGAGTTTGACAAATTTGGCCAGTGGTGTCGGAGCTCTTACAGATATCAGACACAATCGTTTGGATAAAATCACGAAGGTGGCCGATCAAAAACAACGAGATGAACACGAGGATGAACAGACATTGTGAGCTTTATGCTTTCATTATTCTTCCATCTGTCATATCATACTTATTCTGTTATCTATTTTCTTTTCTTTTCTATAGATCAATGTCTAATATGTTATCCGATCTTTTGGAGGTGTCTTTGATAAAGGATCGTTCCTTTTTGAACCTATGTTTTGGCATTAGTTTTGTTTTTACGAGCGATTTTACATTTAGTTCATTACTGCCATTAATGTTGACCAATTATGGGTATGATACAAGCGATGCCGCTTTGGCTGTTATGGTTGGTGCTACAGCCGAATTGATTTCAAGAATTTTACTTGCTATTTTCACCGTTTTCGTCAACGTCAAAGCCAAGTACTTGTTTTTCATTGCCATGATCGCAATGTCGTTTGCTAAAGCAGGTAAAATGTTTTTAAACTATAGTTTAATAACGTACTAGTTTATAAATATTTAATTAATAATAAATAACTATAAATATTTAATAATAATGTACTAGTATATAAACTATATCAAGAAAAGAATTTTTGTAGAGTTTATTAGCAGTTTATTTGTTATAGGATTTTTAATTTTCGAAAATACTTTGATGGGCGCATTAGTGATGAATGCAGCAATTGGAATGGTCCGTTCTTGGCTGCTAGTTCCTCAACCTTTAGTTATCATAGAGGACATTAGCATTGATAAATTTGCATCTGCTTATGGTATTTTTGCGGTTGTCAATGGTATCGTCTCGATTTTTTTAGGTCCTTTTATTGGTACGTTGTTCTCACAATTTTTATGATTATTTTTTATTTATTGATAAATTTCTACGGTAATTAGGTCAAAATGTATGATATTTGTATTTTTAAATAAATTGTAGGGTTTGTTAAGGATTGGACCGACAGCTACCGAGTTTGCCAATACGCTATGTTAGGAATGAATTCCATTTTCGTCATTCCATGGGCTTTGCAGTTTATTTTCGTAGATCTTCTAAAATGGAGGAAGGAGCGACGAAACAAAATTTTATCATCCTCCCTAAATTAATGCAAATGGAGAGAGATGGAGAAAGACCAGTAATTAGTATAAGTATTCAATAGAATAGGTGTATAGAAATTGAAGGCGTTAAATACGATAATAGTAATAGCGGAAATAAGAAATAATTATACTCTCTATCGATTATATTATATCACAATAATTTTATATGACGATTCGTATCGATCGTCCATTTATATATATTTCGTTAAAGAACGTTTATTTTATTCCTCGCTTATTTCTTATTTTGCATTTCTTCTGATCGCATAGTGAATGCAAATATTACGACACTTTCATGAAGACGAGATGCTTTAGTATTGTAGACAAAACATATTTCTATGAACGATAACATGATTATATTTATTCAATATAATTACGAATGAAATAGATTTAATTTTCTAATTAATTATCATATGTAGTAGTTATCATTTTTATTTGTACTGATTTAATGTTACAATTGTTGTTTGCGTTGATATTGTATGTTTTAAGCTATATTTACTCTAAGTCTAAATTAAGAATATTAATTCAAGTATATCCTTTAAAAATTATTTTACGGTATAACATTTATAATACGAGCGATATCAATCGTAGTTTAAGTACAACTTTCTTGAGCAACTTTTTGGCGTGGCTCGATTTTTATATTGAAACCATCAGATCTCTTCAGAATAATATCAACCTGTAGTTGAAAATCGTTTTCAGATACATCGGCTAGAATCTTATAGTTTCTTAGAATTGTTGATATAAGTACTTTCAGCTTTAACAATGCGTATTTGCGTCCCACGCAGGATCTTCAAAATAATTATATAGTTATTTAAAATCTGATTAAGACAAAAGCTAGAAGGATATTTTGATAAATTTTAACTAATGCAACTTACCTGGGACCTGCACTGAAAGGAATAAAGGCATAATAATGTCTCTGTTGCATTTTTTCGGGTAAAAAGTTATCCGGATTAAATACGTTCGGATTTGAATAAAATTCGGGCATGCGATGAATTTTATAAGGCGGTATTATGATTCTACATCCCGAAGGTAAAATATTTTTATTGCTGGCTGTAGAAAAGAAAGTTATATGGATAAGAATTATGTTAATAAATAAAACTATATACGTAATAATTATTAAACATTACCTAGTTGTACGTCTTCGTTAAGAACTCTCGCTATCGCTGGGACCGGTGGAAACATTCGCAAGGTTTCTAAAATAACTCTCTCCAAATATTTCATTTCAATAGTATCTTGAAATGTGCATGGCCTATCTGATCCTTTGAATATCTTATTTAATTCTTTCATCACTTGTTCCTGAAAAAGATGTTCCATTTTTTTTTACATATAAGAGAAAATTAAAAGATGATGGTCGATTGTGATCAAAAGAAAATAGATGAAAAAATTATATCGCAAACTTCTTAGCAATCGATATATGGATATCGAAATGCAAGCGATAGTCCTTTGGTATATCAATTTGTAGTATACTTTCTTATGCACTGATAACCTTTACATTTTTCGGAATTATTTCGTGGTTATTTAAATGGGTAACGTTGAACGTGGAAAGTCATTATTTATGAAATACTGCTCAACTTGTCATACAATCGAGAAAGATGGAAAACATAAAATAGGTCCTAATCTTTTCGGGGTCGTAGGCAGAACAAGTGGTAGTACGTATATCCCTTACGAATGTATAATTGTCTGATTTATTCTTAATCAAAAATTTATTGCGAGATCTTTTTTAAAGAGATTGTTTGTTTGTATAGCTATGCCTGGATTCTTATATACAGAACATATGAAGAAGAAAGCTTGTACGTGGGATGAAAATACCTTAGATATTTATTTAGAGAATCCAAAGAAATTTCTACCAGGCACAAGAATGGTATTTATTGGCATAAAGAAGAGTGAAGAACGAACAGATCTAATAGCGTTTCTAAAGACCTTAAAATAAAATAAGAACTTTAAAAAAACTTTTGCATATTTATATAAATTTGTATCATAGTTGTTTAGGACTTGATAGTTGCTTACTTGAATATCTTGATGAGCTCCCAAGATACAGAGAACGAAGCTGGAAGCTGCTGCCGTAGTATCGTGACCCTAGAAAAAGATAAACAACATTATTTTCTGAGCTCTCTCTCTCTCCCCCCCCTCCCTTTCCCTTCTTGGATCAATTTTACCTCAAACATTATGGTGTTAACTTCTTCTTTAATTTCCTCATCGGTAAGATTAGTACCCGTTTTCGCGAGCTCAAGCATCTGATCCAAGAAAGCCAAGCGTCTTTTCTCTCCTATATCATTTTCGTCGATTTCGTCGAGATCATCCTTGGCATATTGCAATTTCGTATATTCTTTTTCCGTTTTATCATTTTTATTTTTATTGATTTTTTTCGTTTCTTTTTTGTCCGTTTGAGATTTCTCGCCAGACACCATTAAATGTGAATCCAGAGCTTCTGCTTTTTTCTGTTTTATCAATCGTGTTGTCAGGCCGTGAATTATGTTCAAAAGATTTTTTTGTTCAACCCCATACTTCGTCCAATTGAAGTATGTGTCAAACCTTAATAGCAACTTGTACTGCCTTAGATGGATAATATTACACATTCTGTATAAAAGACAAGAAAGTTATGAGTAAGTATATATATATATATATATGTGTGTGTGTGTGTGTGTGTGTGTGTGTAACAGAGGCATATTACTTAATTAAATAAAAATAGGAACAACGTGATCAAACGTATGTGCATAATAATAGAAGGATATGTACTTCATTACTGCCATGGCGTAATCGAAACTGTTCTTGTCTTTTTGGGTTCCTTTAACACCCATAGCGGTTTCCATTAAAATATCGACCGTTATTGCTGACAAATAATCGTGACAATCAAACTCTTTGCCAACTTGATCTCGTAATCTTTTTATCAAACTCCAGCTATTCTCATAAAATAATGGTACAAACGATTTTAATATACTAATATGAAATGCAGGTGCTATAATTTTCCTGTGAGAGTACCATTTTTGGCCATTGCTAATTAATAAACCATCACCTAGCCAGGGCTTGAAGAATCTGAAATGAGTATAGTTTACGCTTTGTTTTATAAAACTTGATTACAATGATATTATAAATATCGATTGTTTACTTTACTTTTTTACTTTAGAAAATACTTTTCACAACAATAAAATTAATTTTCTATGTATTAATTGCAATTATAATAATGAGAACAGTCATATTGCATATGACTGCCCTATATAATTGCATATGAACGACTAATATGAATTATAGAAATGTGAAATTAATATATATATATAATGAAGTTGGATTTGCATCCATTCCAACCTGTACTCCGGAGATTTGGTTATGTGAACGTGACTGCTAAGAATGATTTCGACGTCACGCGGGTCAGTAAGAAATACGAATAACTTCGATCCAAAAAAAGCACGAACAGTGGGTCCATAAATATCCATGTTTATCAAAGTTTGTAAGATATCTTTTGGATGAATATTCCTTGCTAGCAAAGCATTTCCAAAAAACGGAACAGTTGGAGGTCCTAAAAAAATTATAAAAATATATTATGTAATAATATGAAATATATATATATATATGTAGGATGTAACAAAAATACGCGGCGAGACTTTCAGATATGGATTTCTCATATGTAGAAAGAAAAAATAGGTTTTATTAATATGAGCTCGGAAATGCTTAATTTCTAAATTATAAGACTTGCAAATATGATCTTAGTGTACTCCAATTATGTTTACTTTATTTACTAGAATTAAATCCGAGACATTAGTTATATTACGTTCAAATATATAAACATATTTACTGAAATTTTTTATTGTAACATTTACAAATGCGTTATCGTATTTACTTATGCAAGGAATTTTCTATGATAAAGTTACGAAAAATATTTATGTTGTAATTCTAGTTTTTTTTATCATTTCCATGTATGCATTATTAAAAATAGAATATTACCTGGAAGTTTTCTCCCATATCGAACAAGCCGTGATGTTTCCATATAATAGTAAATCGTAGCTAGAATGATGGTTAGTATCACCAAAGGATAAAATCCCGTAGTTGATAAGAAAGATGATATAATTGGAACTGTTTCCATATTATGGAACTTTCTTTATAAAATTTCTTTTAAATATTTTAATTATAATTCAAAAGTAAATAAACACTTATTCAAATATTTTTATTTTGTTTATTTGACAAAATCAAAATTGTTAAGATAACAATTTGATTCAATAATCTTCCTTTCTTTTGTCGTTCTGATCACGTAGTAGTTAATAATGTTGTTAAACATTACTCACTGAATACACGTGTAATAATGACTTGATTTTTATCGTGTTTTATAGTTTATAATCATCAGTAAATTATGCATTGACCTTAAAATTCTTCCATCCGTTATAAATTCAATACAACGGAAAATCTTCGTTTATAATATCAAATTTAAAGTAGTGAAATGTTAACTATTGTTTTGATTATTATGCTTATATCGATTTGATAAAAATTTCAATCGTATGCATAAACGATTACATTTTATATCAATAATGTATTAGTATTGCGTAAAGCGTCTTTATGATATGCGGACGAAAATATGTTTTATTTTTGACGTTCTTTCTATGAGCGTTTCTGACGATAATACTATAATTATATATTTTCTATTATAATCTCAAACATTCGGAAATAAATAAAATATATATTCAATACTCATAATTAGCAAAAAAATAACGTGAAAAAGATAATATAGAAAGTTTTGGATAATTTTATTTGAAAGTTATATAAAGTTATGTAAATGAAGTGTAAAAGATGACTCATAAAATTAGAATCATAAAAATTGCTATTAATATGGATCTAATAATAGAATTAATCATAAATTTATAAAACAGAAAATATTTATTATTTGAAAAGGTAAGAAAGCGGTTAACGATTCATTTCTAGGTCATCGAAGCATAAAGAAATACTCGCGGAAATGATGAAGCAAGGTACCCCCTGCATAGAATGTGCTCATAAAATAACCCTCGAAAGCCAATGAAAAAACAACAAAGAGAGAAAGGGAAGAAAAAAGATACCATAAACGAGACAAAGATAGAAAGAGAGAAAACGTCGAAGAGAAACCGTTCCCTTCGTGGTCGGCAAAAAGCAATTTCATGAAATTACGGAATTATCGATGGCCACCCTTTATTACTGCCGGTGGCTAGTACTACATACGTTTCCGGTTTAACATGATTATTCATCAAAGACAGGTAAAAATTTAGGGGGAACGTTTGGTAATTATTGTGTAAGTTAGTGTCGAGTCTTTGTTCATGACCCGTGGATTTAACTTGAACGTAGGTCTCATACAGTAAATTTTTTATAAAGTGAAATAAGAAATATTGTTACGTTCAGAGGTATAATTAAAATGATCTCTTTTTGATCAAGCAACGAAGCTTTTACACATTTTAACAAATATCAAAAATTGAATATCAAGCGCAGATTACAAACAAAATATTGATTATTGAATGCGTATTATAAACTTATGTCATGAATATAGATTTTATGAATTTTATTGACTTTACAGATTTCTGATCGAACCGATTGACTATTTGATTGACTGAATTGAAATAATGAATCTTGCGTCACAGAATTAGATCATCGCAAATGAAAATTCCTGAGATTAAAGGATCTTTCTTGCCGTTGACTTGAGATGATGATCTCTATAATGATTGGTTCTTCCTGTCGTCTAAACAGTTCGAAGAATTCTATTGGTTCAATATTAAACAGAGATTATAATTAAAGAAATCAAGGAAAACTGACAAGAAGTATATTTTAATTAACGAAAGAGAAGTTTATAAATTAAAATGTCAAATTAAGGCGATATTATTCGATTCGAACAGTTGCGGAATACTGATAGCTCATACATTTAACCGAGTCACATATTTTTAATTTTTAATGAGAAAAATATAAGACGTAGAAAGAAATAAAAGAGTATAAGACAATAACATAACAGAGCAGAATATTTGTAATAATGTTATAATATATTCATATGTAAAAAAGTTACTAGGAATTATGAAGAGACATCTAAGGTAATATTGTATAAATATTAAGATGTATTTTAAATATTTTGTAAAAGTTATCAAGTACAAAGAATGTTTTCACATGTATATGAAACAACTTATCTTAAAACTTAATCAAGGCACTTGTATTTACATATCATCTGGTACTTTCTAACGTCAAGACAGTAATAATGTCAACGATAATTCTCGTATAAGTTCATTATAATTTGTACAAAACTTTTGATTTTATCATCCTTTGTATTTTAGAATGTTTGTTAAACTTTTTCTTCATATACGTTGTAAAATATATATATATATATATATATATATATATATATATATATATAAAACATTGTACATTATAATCAATGGACAACGTAATATAATTATTTGTATAAATAGAATGACACAGTTTTAAATATTCCATATAAAATAGCAAGTACAAAAAATAGTATTATAGTCTAACAAGACTAATCCTTAATTTAATTAAGGCACTTTTATGTACAAATTTTTTTGATTGTGTATCGCATTTTATAAAATGCGCACATTGATGATTTTTTCGTCATCGATATTCTTAGATACGCAGGTATATACAGGTTAATTCATGATTGAAGTTAACTGAATAGAAAGTCATTATACTTGATTAAAAATAAATGAAAAATTTTAAATAAAAATTATTTATATTGTTATTCAGAACAACACGATTATGCGTTTGATTGAATCGACAATATTTTAAATATAATAATCATATGAAAGGATTTTATTTAAAATTTTTCATTTATTTTGTTATGTAGAATTAGCCTCTTCTCAATTTTATTAGCATTAACGAAACAACCTGTATATCGTCTTTCTCACAATATAACAGCATAATAGATTAATAAAAGCAGAATCTCTTCGATGAGAGTCTTATGTGGCAAACGAGAAACATTTAATGTACATATATTTGTTAAAAAGACGAATATTTTAATGACTTCATTAGAAAAACTTGGCAACACAATCGAAATTAATCGATAATATATTTTAATTATTTAAATATCATTGGTCCATTGGATCATTATGATCGTTTTAGAATGTTACTCATACTTTTAAGGCACCCTTTATCATCGTTATAAATATTTAAATGCTTACATAGTTTATGTTTTTATAAAATATCTTCAATAACAAGCGTTTACGTGTGTATACGTGTGAAAAGTGTGTGTAGGAAAAAATCTGTCTCTCAATATTATATTAAGAATAATTTTGTTCAAATTTGATCGTTTTGAACTATGATTATAATTAATTTTTTCACTATATTCTCTGTTTATGTTAAGATATAATTCTATTGGTAATGCATTACCGCAAGGATCATTTTTTTTTTTTTTAAGAAAATAAGAAAAATCGAGTAAGAAAGACTGTTTAGGCAGTGGTCGAGAATGAAAGTACTTTAGGCGATAAGTACTAATATTATTCCGATGGAGATTTAATCGTACGGCGATTTCTCCTTTTTTCGGGTTCGTGAGATCAGTAGATTTAGATTGCTGCACGTTCAGTATTCTTCTTACTAATTGTCACTAAAGTAATCTGTAACAAAAATAAGGTTAATGTAACAATATAATTTTATGTATAAGCGTTATATATAATCTATAATACTGTTGTATATGATAACATGAGCAATATTTAAAATATGAACAGTATACAAAATATATTACCAATATAATACTAATATGCATAAATCAATAAAATTAGACGTTCTTTGCTTTTACATGTTAAATAACTTTATCTTACTGCTGAATTTTCGAATCGATTTGTTCGTATCATCTCAATCGAAGCAATACGAACAATATTATATTTGATTTTATAATTCTAAATTAAAATATAGCTTTCAGAATTTTCATATAGTAAGATCCATATAATACACGTAATTGAACTAATCGATTGTTTACTGTTACTGGCGCATGAAATTTTTTTGACTTTCGAAACTGGATTAATTTATAATACATTTCAAATATTTATGAAATGCATTATACATTTTCATTGAAGTAATACATTTTCTTTTTTGACAATAAATTTTTCGACTCTTCTTCGATGCAAGAGACCATTGCGATTTGGCATTAGTTAGTTTAGAATTAGGTTTCATGTGTAGAACTTTTTTTCTCTTTTTCCCCCGACTATAAAACGTCAACCAGGGAAACGTGAATCCCAGGAAGAAGAGGATTTCTGTTTCTCCCCTCTTTCCACCCCCTTCCCTTTCTCGTAAACATCTATCTTTCCCACGAATTCTGTCCTTAGGAATGTCCAACAGATACCCCAAACCGCTTCTAAATTTAATTCTTTGCAATCCAGGTAAATAAGAATCCATTCGATGAAGAAGGACGGAGTACAATAAGCGGATAGGACAATGCCTGTCCCCAACGTGCAGAGGGGTTCTTCCTTCATTCCCTTGCCCCTTAAAAGATGTATCAAAGTACTCGCAACGCATAAGTAGTGATGTCCTTAAAATTATTTCTCCCTATTTTCGCCTAACGGTTTCTTTTTTGCTTCTCTATTTGAAAAAAGAAAATCATATGATATCGATTTCGGATGTTTGCATAAAATAGAAAACTAGTCGTTAAGGTTATTGCAATCAATGTTGCATTAATTTTATTTTATTTTTTTTTTTGCATAAACCTATATCTATACTAGTACTGGGGTAAAAATTAGATCTATACTGATGTACTAGTATAGATCTAAGTTTTTAATTTTACCTTACTTATCTCATCCTTATAGGATTCACGCGTGTTTCGTTTCGTTGCTTAAGATGCAACTAAGTAGACGATAAGACAAAAAAGATAATTTCAAGTAGTAGCTTAGTTTGGAAAAAAAAGAAGCCGACAGAGTGATTTATTTTATCGGGGAGAGTAAGGGTCTTTAAGATCTGGATCCCATTAATCAATATTAGTTATAACTTTCTAATATGGATAATTTGAGTATTCGGTCGATCATAATCATAAACTAAAATAATGTTTTTAGTTTCTAATCTTTAAAAATCCCAATAGAAGTTAATAGAGAGTAACTAAAATCGATGTATCTTTTTAAAAATAGAAAATCGTCTCCACACAGTTGACTACCGAATCTAACACAGTAAAATTACCATGCTGGTAATGTTTATTGATAAGATAGTCGACATGCGGGTTTCGCCGGTATAATTATTCATTAAACTCTTTTGTTCTCTGCATCCTTATGCAAAACCATAGGTTAAGATACAACAAACATCACAAAGTTTCTGATTAAATTTGCATAGTCTGCGAATTCGTTCGATATGCGTATGTTTATTTACTCCGTATTGAGTAAATAAACATACATATGAATTATTCGATCTATTAAATTATTATTTATATCGATTATGCCACTTCGAATGTATTTGTTAGATTTAATTCGATTTTATTTATCTAATATAAAATAAAGAATTTTAATAACTATTATACACATATCTTTCTTTAATGTTTACGTTAAAAATAATTAATCGTATAATTCTTAAAATTAGATATAATGAATAAAATGTAATAAATACTTTATAGATTATTTAATTTTAAGATTAAAGAAGTAAGTGTTTATATTTTGTCCATGATAGAAATATCGTAGGACATGGTAAATTGATAGTATGATATTGATATAAGGGAATTATAAAAGACGTGTATACATATAAATGTCTTTAAAATGAAGAAAGATACCGAAAGAAAGACTATCACCCGCACGCGGCGTGAACCAAGGGCGATATAATATATAACTACATGACTGGGAGCCAAGAAAGGAATTTATTAAATTAATTTGCCGCGACGACGCATCTCGTAAACTTCGTAGATGACCTCACTTTATAATTGTCGAGAATTACTTGCTACTTGTGCGTTCGCTCTCCCTTGCGTGAGACTTCTTATTTTGTAGTTTCCAACTCGACTTGAAACTACGATACCGCGCGGCGCTTCTTCATTCCCCGAATTACTCCGACTAATAATTACGTTCATTAGTTGCTTGACGGTAGATCAAATAATTCCTTTCTACCAGTTTTATAGTCACTAGTGGACTGCTGACATTTATTTGATATTTTTATTTCGCGATTTTATAAATATTTTTCATGATTGTTGTTTCATGATGTTCTTGAAAGTTGATTTATACTAATACAGTAGGACAGATGGATCTTTCAAATATAATAGATTCTTTATATGATAAATTTATCGAACGAACATATAAATTTATTTTCCAATAGTATATTGTGTGAAACATTCCATTGATCTACATATTTTAAATTACCATTAGAATATAATTGGTCAATAGAATTGTCCAATTGTATTGTGATTGTCAATCTTTATTTTGTTTTTGTTACTTGTTAATACTGTTGATTCGTTAAGATAACTTTAAAATAATGTTCTAAAGTACGAGAAGGTACGATAACGTAAAGAAGGTACTCAAATACGACCTTAGTCACATTGGTATTCATTTGTAAGGGCTACAAGTGTCCCATGAGTTGTCTCCTCTTTCTATCTTTTACTCTTAAGACAGAAGAGCGAAGAGGATGATGCGCGCACGTGACGAACGCGATAGAGGAAGCCACCAAGTGGAAACTCGTGTTCGGCGTTTCCCTTTTGAACACGTGCTTCGTCGGCTTCGAGCCCGAAAATAAACTTTATGCACCGAACCACTTTGCAAAGTGCCTGCCGACGTGACACTCGAATGTCACGGTCTCTCTCTCTCTCTTTCTCTCTCTCTCTCTCTCTTTCTATCTATCTATCTCTCTTCTTCCCTTATCTTTGTCCTGCGGGCATCCATCTCCTTGTCCCTTGATAACCAGGATCAATTATTACATTGTACAGTGTTACGCGGGCTTTTTGAATGTGGAGAAGGTAACAGACTCGTTAAAATTTTTTAAGAGCAACCGGTTTATCACGGCCTTAATGGAGTTCGTCTGGCAGAAGATTATTTTATAAAAAGATAATTAAAAGTAAGCTACGATAAATTAGATGGAGCTTGGAATTTGAAAAAAAATGTACTTGGTAGATTAATTGTTACTGATCTTACGTTATAAATTTATAATGTCATACAAATGAAAGGATATATGATCGCTGATATAAATGTCAATAGATCTAATTTTTATTTTTGTCATATAACCGTTTAAATTTTGTACTTAATTTATCAGATTTATTGCAAACTGAGAACGCAAACGTAGCGGTCATTTTCAAAAATAGAACCCAGTTTAGAACACGTACATGGTTAAAGAGAAATAACGACGAAGAAATGTCGATACTTCCGTTGTTATCGTACGTACGGCGTCGTCGCGACGTGAGAATCGAAGGAGAAAAAGTCCAGTGGCCGACAGCCCCCATGCCGCAAATAGAAGTCAACGTTTCTGAGGAAACGCGCGTAACCCACGTGCCATGCAGCCAGCAGATATATAATGCGCGGTGTATGCACGCGTATCGGCACTTGGCTCGACCAAACGACGACAAGAGTTGCATAGGGTAGCATGCCATATGGGTAGCATTACGATCAAGAGAAGTCAGCGGACGGTTGCCATATGCTTCACAGAGATCTTTCTTCAACTATATCGAAGCTAGACGATGTACCAAATACTTTTGATAGATTTCATTATATTATTCAAATGAATACGTTCAATGAAGTCAGTTCGTTCAATTTATTTTTAAATGATTTAAAAGTAAATATCAATTCTCTCATTATTTTCTATCTAGAAGTGGAATGATGTCGTATTAAATGACGACATGAAAATCTGTTAGTTAGTACGAATCAAAGTATTAGAAGTTACTATCATTAACAATAAAATTTCAGAGAAGTACACAAAATTTTAAGATATATTTTATAGTGTGAAGCACTTAAAGTTTTCATAAAATTCCAACCAACCTTACGAGTTACACATGTGCCAACCTCTGAGTGTGTTGTTGAGTATGATGCACCAGTCGACCCTGTTCCTGTTCCCACCAACTGACAACGTCCATAAATTCGCCGGTCTCAGCGATCTCCTGTTTATAATAAAGGGCCCCCGAGAAAGCTTCCGGACTAGCCGCGTAAACGGTCGTAGCACCTTCCTCGCTATCGCCAGCACCGCTGTAAGGGGAGAGAATTCTAGGTTCCAAATTTTCCTCGTTTTGTCCATAATACTCAGAAGGTGGTGAGGCCACGGAATTAGGGGAAAGTCGCGAGAAATTTTGAGGACCGTTCGACGAGAGACCTCGAGGTTCCAGGTTCTCTTCGTCACCCACGGAAGACGCATAATAGTCATGAGGCGACGGCATGGCCGTTTGGTTAGGTGATAGTCTGAAAATATTCAAATTGCAGTTTCAGTATCGTTTCCATATAGATACGAATTTTATCTTCATTCTTCTAAAATGTTCGTTTATTTTTTTTCAATTAAAAATTCTCATAAACGTTTCATAAAATTTATCAATATTGTATGTTTTCATTATAGAACTTTTCTATTATACTTTGGTATTTGTACTTATTGAAAAATATTATCTCAAACAATTTCTTTGACAATGAATAATCATAAAAATAATAACGATCTAATTAAAACAATAATTAGACTTACCTAGAAAGTGTCATTTTGGTTTTACTATTCTCCTCGTCTTCGTCCAATTGTTCACCATCTTCACCGTCTTCAACCGTAACAACGTCGTCCTCAAGTGCGAGTTTCTCACCAGAACCATTGTGACTTGAGGAAACGACGCTGCTCGTAGGCGAGGGAACACATTGAGATCCCAAAGCAGAATTTGAATCGTACTCGACACCATCAGCTTCTGCGAGTAATCTCTGAAGACCTCGAATGTATTCAACTGCCATTCGAAGAGTTTCGACCTTGGACAATTTCTTACCCCTGTCGCCGTATCCCGCCGCGATATGATTCGGTATGTGTTGTCTCAGGGTAGCGAAACCATTGTTTACTTGCTTCACGCGATTCCTTTCTCTGGCATTTCTCCTAGCTACGGCAACTGTAGGTGGTTGACCACTTTTTCCATGTTTTTTCAACCTCGATGAATCATAAGAGGGTAAAACGTTAAGCGTGGCCATACCACTACCACTATTATTATTATTGTTATTAGTCTTCGGAACTATTAGATGAGGCTGATTTCCGAGTATATTGCTCTCGTTATCCTGAAGGGTTCGAAGTAGCATCAGCTGTTCCTGATCGTTTCCATTTATTTGAACCCTATTGCAGAAGACCGTTACACCCATAGTCGTCATTTCGAGGTGAATTTTTTGTTAGTCTCTTCAACGAGTTCTAATCTTCACTCCACACTTTCGTTCGTCGTACCTTCCCTCCTTCTTTCCCTTTCAATGTTGGCCGTCAGCTCGCAGGAACGAACGTTAGTTTCGATCGACGAGCCGTGACGCCTCGTGGGAAAGCTTTTCGATCAGGTAGAAGGAACGTTTCTCGGTGCGACATGCGGAGGGTGAAGTCGTCGTGTCGCGTGGTTGGCCGAGTCGACCGGCCGCTCATCGACTCTAATGTCTTTCAAGGACGGAGCTAATTGACGGACTTATAAATAAAACGCGCACTCCCGTCGGAAACAAAGGCGATGATCGTCAAGACAGACGATCAGACGAAGCTTCGATTCGATGTTCGAGGATTTGGGTCACGTTGAATGAAGAAACAAACGAACCATTTGATATTTCACATTCTTTCCTTTGATATCCTACTAGTTGGCGCAGGATTATCACACGAAAAACACGATTTTTCTTGCTTGATCTCACAGATAGGATTTCCGAGGCATCAATAAGGAAGATGAAGGATAAGACAAGACGTGACGTTGACCGGCCGATTCAAGATCCAATTATCTCGCTGCCGGTCGCCACAACTTAAGTAAAGCATGAGGTCACCGACTATTTTTCTTCACGACGGTCGTCGACATCATGAAAAGCATTTCCAAGAAAGCACCCTATCTATCTTTTTTCTTTGACACCTATGTTTTCTTTAACTTATAAAAAGAAGATTTCTTTCTATATTACTTTACCACTACCTTTCACCGAACTTAATTTCTCGTTACTTCTCGAACGAGCACCACCGACCGGTCGTAACAAACTATCTCACGAATTTGGAACTATATCCAGAGACAGGGATCAATGGTATTGACGAAACTAACGAGATAATCCGAAATGTTCGCTACCTCTCGCGTCTTTGCTTTGGATCTGATCTAAGCGTTACGCATCGCATGGCGTCTGCATTGAGAATGAGCGCGGACATCCGATAGATGGGTTAGGTTTCAGCATTTTGCCGCACCGTTGAACGAGAGAGAGAGAGAGAGAAAGAGAAAGAGAGAAAGAGAGAGAGAGCAAGAGAGCGAAAGAGATGGGGCAAATACGTCGACATCGTAGACACGGTGAAACGAAAGGAGGGGAGTTGCGAGTGTTGGGGAAGAAGGAACGAGAGGGAGAGAGAGAAAGATAGAAAGAGAGAAAGAAAGAGAGAAAGAGAGAGAAAGAGAGAGATTGTGCGGGTCTGATATGTGTGTGAGAGAGATAAAACGAGAGAGAATAAGGCGTCATGGGAGAAGAGAAAAAGGTGGTGGGGATTTTGAGCACGCGCCGCAGCCCCCTTCGTTTCTTCTCCCCCGGAACTGAAAAAGGGGGACCGTGCACGCCATATGCCAGGGGAGCAAACGAGCGTGCGCCAGTTGTGCCCTTGTGTGCGCGCACGCGCGAACACACGCGCGCAACTTCGAGTTTAGGGCACCCAAAGCAAAATGCTAGAAAAGAAAAGTCATGGAGGATGGACTTGTCACGACTACGAAATACGTCGTGAAGAAAGTCTAAGTCCTTGAAAGACTAAGGATTCGTGTCGATTGCTTCTTCTTAATGGACTTATCAAGAGGGTAAAAAAAGAGACAAGAGAAACAAAGAGAAAAGAAGGAGAAAAAGAGAGAGAGAGAGAGAGAGAGAGAGAGAGAGAAAGAGAGAGAAAATTTTCGTTATGAAATCCATTGTTTGCTTCGGTTAGCTGACAACTTTTCGTTGAGCGAATTAAAGATTTTTGACTGCTTTTTATATCAAGGATAAATTATAATATGATTACCTTTTGTTATTAACATTTGATTTCTTCTCATTCCATTCTAGCTATCGTTATAAAAATTTCTCTTTTCCTTTGTCTTAATTTGTTAATAAATTTACTTTCATACAATAATCAATTCATTTAGATATATCTTTTATTAGGACAAAATTTAATTCTCATTCTCTTTTGTTTCTTTTTTTCTATTCATTGTTACATCAGAGTAAAGATTTATAGTATATTTTCTTATTGTAGTTAGATATATGTATGAAGACGTTACTCGTTAACGTTCAATCGATCATTCTCGGAATTAATTAGAAATACAAGAGCAAAGGTTTTTTTTCTTTGCCATTTTCATTAACTCTTAATCCGTTATTATTGCTTGTTTGCATAATGGACATTTAGAACGTAAATGGAATAACGTTGACCGTGAAGAAATAAACACGTGAGAATATGTGTTTATGCTTTCATTAGTCTAAATTGTAAATATATGTATATCGTATATAAGTACCCAACCAAAATATTGATCGGTCGAGGATGAAGTCATTCTCTTTTACCTCGCTCTAAAATATTATCATTCGCACAATCATATTACTACTTTCACGTGTCTGCTTTCACTTGAGACGATTTTTCCTTTATAATATAACCATCGGCGATGTTAAAAAAAAAAAAAGAAAAAATAAGAGGAAAAAACCAATAAAATATCACATACCAACTGGTACCGAATGTTCTCTTTTCCTCTCTGCGACGTGAAGCAAAGGACAGGAAGAACGAATTTCGGTTCAAGAGACGCGGAAGTCTCGTGTTTCGAGGCGGAGCATTTCCACGGACCAATGACGTCTCTTGTAGGAGATATATCTCGTCTATATTCTCTTTCTCTCTCTTTTTTTTTCATTTATCTTTTTTCTTTATTGTTCTTTTCTTTTTCTAATCGGAGAATTTTTATTATACACTTCGATTTCTAGCCATTTCGAAGGATAAAATCGAGATTAAGTTTGGAATTAAATTATAAATCCTCTTTCATCGTATTGCTTGCTGCCAATCTGGATATAACGTGAAAACAGCCGGGCGTTTTCCCAACTGCGATTGGTCGTTTATAAATCACGATTTAAAAAACAGCTCCATTAACATTTTCCAAAGCGAGGGTTATCCTTATGTTCGCAAACCGAAGGGCTCTGTTTCGACCTAGATCTAGTTTACCTTCTATCTATCTATCTTTCTTGCTCTATATATACCTTAAATCTAAAGAGAGGAGTCGTAAGCCGACCGTGCGACCGAAAGTGGGGGGCTTGATCAAATTTATAATACAAAATATATAGAGTGAGGCCCCACGAACCCTCGTGCGGACCTTTAATCTCCGTTCGTGGCAGGATCGTACATAAAATTTCATATTGGAGGGGCTCCCACGTGAAAGGAAAGAACGATAAATAATTTTATATATTTACGTCTACGTTGAAACCTTATTAATTCTCGTCAAAAGATTTTGTATGTTAAATAATTTCTTTATATATTATTTTAATCAATTTTCTTTTTATAAAAAATGAAATAAATGTATTAAAGAAATAACACTAAATTTATCGAATTTCATTATGAAAGAGGACACAATGAGGCGAATTTTAAACAAAAAGATATTCATAAGTAAGTAACGTATAAAATAATTCTTAATTTACAGGGAAATAAGAAATGATTGAAATTTAGACGGCCCTGTACGAGAGAGAGGTAGAATCGAGAGCACATCTCACAATCCCACGATAAAGATAGCTTCACGTATTCGGGGGATTAAGTTCACCGTCGATCTTTGAAATCCCCAGCAAATCGTTAAAAACCTTGAAGCGACCCTCGTCGTAGAGAACTCCGTTCCAATGAACGCAGAGCCCACCTTTTCTCGTGAGACTCTTGCTCGACCGAGTCGAATAATGCGCATGAGTTATCAAACCACGAAACCGGTCAAATATAATAATCGTATTGATATTCTCCCACTGTCGGATAATAACGAAATTCCGTAATATACACAAGTACCTACCTACGTATCCGAGAGAAGGCTTTATCGAAGAGAACACGATGGAGAAAGGAGTTTACAATTTCGTTTATGTCGCACACGTAAATTCGGATCAACCGAATGGTATCTTCAATTCGAATCATTATGTAGAAGCGTGCGCACACAAATCTTTTGTCGTTGACTATACTTAAGAGATTAGATATCTTTTATTCGAAATGAAAGCATCGTTTGATTTTACGACGATTTATTATATTAATTCTTATTTCTTTTTTAACTACTTTATGAAAATTATTTATCGTTCTATCATATCTTGAGACAGAAGTATTAACAAATTTCAATATTTTATTTGTTCTAAAATTTCTTTTCTTTTTTTTTTTTTATATTCGAGAGAAACTTGACGAAACGAGATGAAAGAAAGGGCAGACCCGTTTCATAAATCACCATATTTACGCCAGTTCGAGGCCGTTAACTAGCACCACGTGGAGTCCATGCATGTGTCGCGTGTGTCTCATTCTCACTATATCCGCTTCTCACGTGGATTAATACAAAGATTTCCACATTCTTTTTGGAGTCTCATTAACGATGACAAAAAAAAAAAGAAAAGAAAATAGAGATAAAAATGGATCATATAGAAAAGATCATCAATCTCTTATTTCAGATAGAATATTCTATAATTATAAAATCTGATAAATCTCAAACGTGAATAGAATGATCATCCTTTTTAAATCATGATTTATGACGATTGAATGTTCTTGAATAAAATTGCAATCATTGCGTTACTCTTGCTGTGAAGACATTGATTTTGAGTCAAAGTCAAAGATCGATAGAGTGTGACTAGAAGTTATTTCGGTCGATACTAATGTGCTGGCTCTTTATATTTGAGAAACACTCCGATGGAAGTCGCCGCGGGAATCTAAGAGCTTAAAAAGCGCTAATAGGAGCACGAGTATACATCCAAGTTGGGCCGTTTAAGCAATTGGGTAGCGTTCGGTGGATAGTGTCAGGGACAGAAGCAGCCAGAAGTAGAGAAGGGTAAGAGAGAAGAGAGAGGGAGGCCGAGGGCAAAGTAGAAAGGGGGTGGGCCGGTGCGGGCCCTTTGTTAAGACGCGTGCCCGTGCACGTGTGCACGACCAATGCCTACGCACTTCTGTTACGCATCGCGCTCGAACGTAGGATCGAATCGTGCACAAGCGCACGTGAGAAATGTTATATATGTATACGTATATTTACGTACGGCGATCTCGTTAAGTCTTCAAATTACGATCTCGCATGAGTATACGGTGACAAAGCGTGCTCGCTTCGACGTGCTAACGATTATTTTTAACTTTATTTTTCTATTCTCTTTTATTGTTAAATCATTTTGATTTGTTGTTTTTTCTTTCAGATTTATCTCAGAACAACATTGATATTCGAATATTACAGTACATATATCGATTCATTTTATTGCTTTTATGAATTATACTTTATGAATTTCTTTATTGAATTCCATTTACAATAACATAACGAACTTGCAGATCAATTCGAAGATTCGAAAGCGGGACGGCGATGTAATCCGAGTAACAAAAACGAGAAGGCCTGGATCGAGGCCTTTCTCTCTCTCTCTCTCTCTCTCTCTCTCTCTCTCTTTCTTTCTCTTTCTCTCTTCCTTTTTTTTATATACGAATAGATTCACCCCAGTCTAGATCGATCCGTCCCTGATTTGGCACGCACTTACGCGCTCGCTCGTTCTCTCTATAACTCGTCCTACGTGCCTACGTAGGTGCGTTTCTATTCAATTCCGAAAGGTAATTCTACTCCCCTTTCCTTCATCGTCTCCGTTCGACATAGGGCCAACCTTTACAATGTGCAAAATTATACGATCACCCAGCTCTGCTCTCATACCCTTCGTCCTTTCTCTCCCCCCCACCCCCTTTTTGTTTGTTCGATCTATCCTGCTCTTCTCTATGAACACGATC